AGCGTCTGCAAGAAGATAACCAAGCTCAGAGAGCATCAAGCAGCCCACGGTCCTTTTCCTTCTCCTCTCCAGAAATCACACCCCTTTCTAACTCTGATGACGTTACCTAGGTGGGTCATGAAACGTCTGCAAGAAGATAACCAAGCTCAGAGAGCATCAAGCAGCCCACGGTCCTTTTCCTTCTCCTCTCCAGAAATCACACCCCCTTCTAGCACTGATGATGTTACCTAGTTTGGGTGCTGAAACGTCTGCAAGAAGATAACCAAGCTCAGAGAGCATCAAGCAGCCCACGGTCCTTTTCCTTCTCCTCTCCAGAAATCACACCCCTTTCTAACTCTGATGACGTTACCTAGGTGGGTCATGAAACGTCTGCAAGAAGATAACCAAGCTCAGAGAGCACCAAGGACCCCCTCACCCACCACCAGCTGCCCCTGTTAAGCTCTTGGGGCTGCTTGAATCTCAGGGTCATTTGTCCCAAAGAGAGAACCTTCTGAAAGGCCTATTGGGGGGGCGGGATATTTTCCTATCTCAAAATGAGGGGATACCTTGAAGCAGGGGGGGGGGCGCCCATGAATCAGCTGCTTCCCCCCCCCCTTGTCACGTTACGAAAGGCGAACAAGAGGTCTTTATTGCAAGGCTTCTCGAACACCAGGCCTCCATTCATCCCACCCCCGGGGCTTCTCAGGGCCCAGAGCCACCGCCCCCCACGCCACGCGGGATGGACTCCAGCTCCCATCATCCCCAGCCCTGGGGTGGCGGATGGGAGTTGGAGTCCGGCGCTTAAGCGGGGGGGCGGTTCCTGAAGAGGGCAGAGCGTTCCCCTCCCTCACTGACCGTAGGGCTGCCCCCCGAGCTCGTACTGCTGCATGCGGTAGACGGTGAACTCGTGGGCGGCCGAGGCCGGCGGCGGGCCCAGCAGCAGCAGCAGGACGGCGGGCAGCACCAGCAGGAAGCTGAGCGGCAGGCACGAGGCCTTCAGCAGCACCGAGCCCAGCACCTCCTCGCCGGCCTCTTCCAGCATGACGGCGGCTGCTCCCGGGCGCGAAGGGAACGAAGGAGAAACGCCTCAGCCGGATAAGGGGGCGCGGGGCACGCCGGGAAGTGGAGTCCGCCGACCCTGGAGCCGCCCCCTTTACCGCTTTTCCCTCCCGCGCCCGCGCGAGGCCCTCTGGGAAGAAGGGATCACGTGCCGCCGTCAACCGCCTTCCACTCCGGCGCGAGGCACGCTGGGAAGACGGGGTCACGTGACGCCCTCAACCGTCGTCTTCTTCTCCGGCGCAAGGCACGCTGGGAAACGGAGGCTCCCCTCTTCCTTCTGAGGCGTTTCTCCTTGTCCTTCCTCGCCTTTCTGCGGTTGTTTTACAGTCGTACGTTAACGCTCGGTGGAGGGGGGTGGGGTGTCAATGGAATTTACCTCCCTGACAGAGAGAGAAAGCGAACGAGCATTTATAGGTTTAAAGAGAGTTTCTATCCTTGGGTTGTGAGACTTTTAAATACAACCACAATCACTCCATGCACACGCTAGTTTTTTTCTTTCTTTTTTCGTT